GTGAATGGTCATTTAATTTGAAGCCTGCAATTGGTTTCTGAATTTACAAGCCATGCAAGAAATCTTTATGTACAAAATGCACATTTAGATCCATGTTTATGTTAAAGTTGATCTGAATTTAAAACACAAAGTGAGTCCACAATATGAAAGAAAAATCAGGGGGCACCATTGTGCTTCTATGTGTGTTGGCAGAGGCTGCAAATACCTTCAAGACCCTTTTCAGATTTAAATGGTTTTCCGTTTTTAAATGGTTTAATATGCATACCTTCTTCCAATGTATCCATCCATATAAGAATATCACTCTTGTCTTGTAAACCAATTCTTAATAATTATGCATCAATTTCTCTATGGTAGGATCCAGGGTGGTAAACGGAAGTAACTTAACTCCAACATATCCTAAGGGTCCAGGATTTCAAACAAAAGAAAACCAGAGTAATATGACAGTAAATGGAGAAGACTTGAGAGCATTGACTTTCATGCCCAGAAGGGTTAATTGGCAGTGGAAAAAGAGAGAGGCTTGTTGCAGGTTGCTTGAATGACAGGGAGAAAAAAGCAAGAGCCTTAGCCTGGGCGGGCAGGCTGGTGCACTGCAGTCTGGCATTGAACTCAGACCATCCGACTGCAGTCTGTACCCTGCTCATTCCATAACAACTCTTCCTTGCATTGGCTTATTGATGGCCTTAAAGCCATTCAGCATCTTTCTCCTCATTGTGTCAGCCTGAATTTATTGCTAGCAATAACATTGTAATGTACATGGATAGCTGAAATGCAAAAGAAGGCCTCAGAGTTGATACTTGTGCCTTTCTGTCCCTCTTCTGCTCTTCCTCTTCTAGGACTAGGGAGTATGACAACCGTGATATAGGCCTGTCCTTTCAGTAGAACAACTGGAGCAGCTGTTGCACCCCATCCCTCTCTTCTGACAATCCTTAAAATTCAATAAGAAAGCCAGGCACCAGCAGGGCACCAATAGCTTACACCTCTAATTCTACCCATTCAAGAGACTGAGGTCTAGAGGATAGAAGTTCAAGGCCAAGCCAGGTAGAAATGTTAAAAAAAAAATCTATCTCCAAAAGTAATCAGAATAACAGTACACCAGTGGCTCACACCTATAATCTTAGTTATTCAGGAGGCTGAGATCTGAGGATCAAGGCTCAAAGTCAGTCCTGTCAGGAAAGACTATGAGATTATTCTTTCCAATTAATCAAAAAACCCAGAAGTAGATCTGTGGCTCAAGTGGTAGAGGACCAGACTTGAGTGAAAAAGCTAACGAACAGCACCTAGATTCTGAATTCAAGTCCCAGTACTGGCTTAGAAACAACAATAAACAGCTAAAGCAAGACTGGAAGCATAACTCACATGGTAGAGTGCTAGCCCAGCAGGCTCAAGGCCCTGAGTTCAAACCCCACCAACTCCCAAAAAGGAAAAACACAGGTACTGGTAGCTCATGTCTGTAATCTTAACTCTCAGGTGGCTGAGCTATGAGGATGTTAGCTCAAAGCCATACCCAACAGATAGATCCCAGTAATTCTTTTTTTTTTTTTAATTTTTTTTTTTTTGTCCGGTTGTGGGGCCTGAACTCTGGGCCTGGGCGCTGTCCCTCAGCTCTTCAGCTCAAGGCTAGAGCTCTACACTTGAGTCACAGAGCCACTTCCGGCTTTTTTCTTTTTGCTTATGTGATGCTGGGGAATCGAACCCAGGGCCTCATGCATGCAAGGCAAGCACTCTACCACTGAGCCACCTTCCCAGCCCCAAATCCCAGTAATTCTTAGCTAGCAAAAAGCCAGAAGTAGAGGTTGGCTCACGTGGTGGAATGTCAGCATTGAGCTAAGCCAGAACAAGAGGCCCAGAGTTCAAGCTCTAGTACCAGAAAAGAAAAAAAAAATGTCTTTAACAATTTTCTAAGGGTCTAGAATAAGGTACTGGGCCTGTGGAGGGAGGAACTAGCTCTGAGCAAGCCTTAAAGCTAGGCAGAAAGTGGGCAAGGCCAGGGCCTTTTCTTCCATTGGCATTGCCCCTGGAGCCTGTCAGGGCCTGAAGTATAGCCAAAGAAGAGCCTAAGAGCCATGCACCTGTGGCTCTCGCCTGTAATCCTAGCTACTCAAGAGGCTGAGATCTGAGGATCATGGTTCAAAGCCAGTCTGGGCAGGACTGTCCATGAGACTCTTATTTCCAATTAACTACCAGAAAACCAGAAGTGGTACTGTGGCTCAAGTGGTAGAGTGTTTGCCTTGAGCTGAAGAGCTGAGGGATAGCACCAAGGCCAAGTTTAAGCACTCATTTTTGTTTTTCTTCTGGTACTACAGCTTGAACTTGGGGCCTCTTGTTCTGGTTTAGCTCAATGCTGACACTCTACCACTTGAGCCAACCTCTACTTCTAGCTTTTTGCTAGCAAAAAAAAAAAAAAAGAAGAGCCTAACAGAAAGTGTTTATTCTGTCTCTGTGTGCCTGCGTGTATGTGTGTGTGTGTGTGTGTGTGTGTGTGTGTGTGTGTGTTGTATGTTTCCACTCATCCAGTCCTCGAGCTTGAACATAGGGCCTGGGCCCTGTCCCAAATCTTTTTGCTCAAGGCTAGCACTCTACCTCTGAGCTACTGTGCTACTCCTGGCTTTTTTGGTGCTTAATTGGAGATAAGAGCTTCATGGACTTAAACTGCCAGGGTTGACTTTGAACTCTGATCCTCAGCTTTCAGTCTCCTGAGTTTTGAGGATTATAGATGTGAGCCACCTATGACTGGTAAGGCTTTATTCTTATTTTATTTTATTGTCGGTCATGGGGCTTGAACTCAGGGCCTGGGTGCTGTCCCTGAAGCTTTATGCTTTATTTCACACACTTTCCCCACATACTTTCTTCTCTCTATTCTGTGGCTTCTTTTTTTTTTTTTTTTTGTCGGTCGTGGAGCCTGAACTCTGGGCCTGGGCACTGTCCCTCAGCTCTTCAGCTCAAGGCTAGCGCTCTACCACTTGAGCCATAGTGCCTCTTCTGGCTTTTTTTTTTTTTTCCTGCTTATGTGGTGCTGAGGAATCGAACCCAGGGCTTCATGCATACAAGGCAAGCGCTCTACCACTGAGCCACCTTTCCAGCCCCTTCTTATCTTTTTGTTTGTTTTTGTGAAGCTCAGCATCTTGAATTTGGACACTTAAATTTTGGATTGACTTTTTTGTCTAAGGCTGGCTCTCTACCACTTGATCCATATCTCTACTTTCTGCTTATTGCTGGTAAATTGGAAGTAAGAACCTCAGGAACTTTTCTACCGGGGCTGCTTCACACTCTGATCTTTGAATCTCAGTCTCCTTAGTAGCTAGGATTATAGGCATGAGCCACAAGAGCCTGGCTTAGCATTTATTATTTTATGATTTTTGTCACATGGGTTTGTGGAAAGTTTCTGCTTGTGTGGTCCCTAAAGTCAGATTCTGGAAGTGGAAAGTAAATGAATTTTACAATGGTTTGTATTCAGTCCCCAAATGACTCTGTATTCAAGGCTTTGAATATGTTTGCTTGTGTCGATTCTTGAGTGGCTGGAAATAATAAGTGGCTTCTAGATTCTAGTCAAGGCTTCTAATAGTGCAGATAAAGCAGTTTGTGCTTTGGGTTACAGACTTTGCATATGGAAAGCGAAAAATTAAGACTAGAGAATTTGTTGGGTTGTTTTCATTGCCAAATTCTTTGGCTCTATAATATAGGTGTGAATTTTCAACATAATAGAAGATCCAGTTCTGTGAATTAATTGAATTATTTATTTCATAGCATCTCTTTCCCTCCCTCCCTCCCTCCCTTCTTTCTTTCTTCCTTTTTTTTTCTTGTTGGTGATGGTGGTGGTCGTCATAGGGCCTGAACTCTGGGCCTGGGCGCTGTCCCTCAGCTCTTCAGCTCAAGGCTAGTGCTCTACCACTTGAGCCACAGCATAAGCTTTTTCTGCTTATGTGGTGCTGAGGAATTGAACCCAGGGCCTCATGCATGCAAAGCAAGCACTCTACCACTGAGCCACTTTCCCAGTCCTCTTCTTCCTTTCCTTTTTCTTTTTCTTTTTTGTGGATTTTCTTTTGTGCCTGAACTAGGGCTTGAACTCAGGGCCTGGGCATTGTCTCTGAGCTTCTTTTTCTCAAGGCTACCACTTAAGCTACAAACCATGGCTTCAAACCATGATCCTCAGATCGCAGCCTCCTTAGTAGCTAGGATTATAGGCATGAGCCACCAGCATTGGCTTTCCTTCCTTCTTTCCTTCCTTCCTGCCTTCCTTCCTGCCTTCCTTCCTGCCTTCCTGCCTTCCTGCCAGCCTGCCTGCCTGCCTTTCCCTCTTTGTTCTTATACTGGAGCTTGAATTCTGGGGCCTCATTCCTTTATTTGGCTTGATTGCTCATTGTTGGTACTCTAATACTTGAGCCACATCTCTAGTCCAGCTTTTTGCTGGTAAATTGGGCATAGAATTTCATAAACTTTTCTGCTTAGGCTGGCTTTGACATGTGGTCCTTGTGAGCTGACCTTCTGAATAGCTAAGATTACAGATGTGAAATACGAGCATCTGGCTTCACAGTACTTTCAATAAAAGTTTATAGAGAAAATTGATAAATGACTTTTGGTCATTTTTGTTATCTTGGTTTTTTTGTTTTGTTTTGGTTTTTTGGTTTTGTTTTGTTTTGTTTTTCAGTTGTGGGGCTTGAACTCTTTCCCTCAGCTCTTCAGCTCAAGGCAGGCACTCTACCACTTGAGCCACAACACCACTTCTGGTTTTCTGGTGGTTAACTGGAGATAAGAATCTCATAGACATTCCTGCCCAGACTGTCTTTGAACCGTGATCCTCAAATCTCAGCCTCCTGAGTAACTAGGAATACAGGCATGAGCCTCTGGCACCCCGCTACTTTTGGTCATTTTTGAGTGTGTCTGTGTAGGAGGGAAGATGATTCTAACTTTGACTAGAGAAAATCAAACCAACATTAAGAGATATGGAATCATTGTTTTCTGTGTAAAATTCAACCATTGACTTAACTATTTTTCCCTTTCAGATCCAACTTAGAAATAACGTTTGGCTCAAGCTAAAGCTCATGTTTGGAGAGAGAATCTGGCCTGGTTTGCCTCATTCTAAGACTTATGTCATCTGCTTTCCAAACCCAGGAAGGACCTCCATTTCCTGTTGTTGGCTCCTTATACTTTGCCAGCTGTTGGCACTTTCAGGAAGCTTGACCAGAAAGCCTGGCTGGGAAGGACAGTGTGAGTGCATCATAGACAATGGATTGTCACCACAGTTTCAGTGACTCATCAGCGTGGTTGCCCACTTTGAAATCTCAAGATCTGTCTGATCTAATTGAAACACCTGTGTTTTAGCTGGTTGAATTGTATTACATGGCAAAACCACCTCAAATTATGTCCGTGACCAATAATTTCTATGGCTGTTTTCAACAGAAGACAAAGAAAGAAATGATTCCTGAATTGTCCTTTTTTGAAAAAGAAAAATAATTAGTAGCCAGACACTGCTGGCTCATGGCTGTAATCCTAATTACTGAGTATTCTGAGATCTGGAGATCAGAGTCCAAAGGCAGCCTAGGAAGGGAAGTCCATGTTACACTTAGCTCCAACTACCAAAAAGCTAGAAGTGAAACTATGGGTCAAGTGGTAGAACACTAGCCTTGACCAAAAAAAAAAAAAAGCTCAGAGACAGTTCCCAGGCCTTGAGTTCAAGCCTCAGGACCTGTAGACATACAAAATCAATCTATAGGTTTTTTTTTTAATGTGCATGAATACATAGTTTTTGTTTTTGTTTTATGTGGAGGTCCCAGGGCTTAAACTCAAGCCCAGGGCTTAAACCACAGTTCCACTTCTGGCTTTGAACTACAATCCTCAGATCTCAGCCTCCTGAATCACTAGTTTTACAAATGTGAGTCACTAGTGCCGGGCTAATACATAGGTTTTGTGTGTGTGTGCTTGTGTGTGGGGGGGGGGGGGTCAGGGCCTAGGAGCTGTTCCTAAACATCTATTCTCAAGGCTAATGCTCTACCATTTGAGCCACAGTTTTACTTCCGGCTCTTTTTGGTAGATAAATAGCTAGGGTTACAGGTATGATCCACTGGCTCTCAGCATAAATATATATTTTTATGTCCATTTTATTCCAAGAACTTTGTGCTGAACAGGAGACAATAAAAATAGGTTCTAGCAAAGTGGACGTTTAAAGTTAGGTTAAAAGACTATTCTGAAATTTATGTATTAATTTTTGGAGTGACAGTTACTACATGTTCTGTAATTTACCTTTTTTTAATCTTAAAGATGAGAAATGATATCTAAACCAAAGACATTGTTTTGTTTTATAACTAAATAAAGGCATTCTTTTGTTTCTATAACTTCTTTAAATACAAATCAACCCTTCATGCTTGATTATTTGTGTATGTGTGTGCACAGACACACACACACACACACGCACACAAGCAAAAACAGAAGTACCTAAATGGGGAAAGAAGTCCTTTAAATTCCTAGACGTCATAGTAAGGGAGGTCCAAAGCAATAACAATATTAAAAGTCAATAATTTCACCTCTCCACCTTACAAAATTCAAGTGATAAAGAACTTGTCTGGTATGTATGAGGCTCTGGGTCCAATGCTAATACTGCAAAGACAAAAAATAGTGACAAAAAATGCTATTGAATACACACTATGTGGAAATGACCTATGTAATTTGTGGGCAGGGATGGAAGGGGGAATCTGGGGGAAAGCAAAGGAATGGATGATGTTGTCAAAAAAAAATGTACTTATTACTTGATTTATGAAATAGTAACCCCTCTACATAATAATAACAGTAAAATTATAATTTAAAAAATAGTGAATTATTTCCTTTTACAAAAAGTCATGGTATAGTACTGGTTTGGGTGTTTTGTTTTTGTTTTTGTTTTTTTAATCAGTCCTAGGGCTTGAACTCAGGGCCTAGGGACTGTCCTTGGGCTTCTTTTGCTCAAGGCTAGCACTCTACCACTTGAGCCACAATGCCATTTCTGGGTTTTTCTGTTGATATGGTACTGAGGAATTGAACCAGGGCTTCATTCATGCTAGGCAAGCACTCTTACCACAAAACCACATTCCCAGCCCTCCTTTTAAAGATTTGTATATAGGGGGGCTGGGAAGATGGCTCAGTGGTAGAGCACTTGCCTTGCATGACTGAGGCCCTGGGTTTGATTCCTCAGCACCATATAAGCAAAAATTTAAAAGCTGGAAGTGGTGCTGTGGCTCAAGTGGTAGAGCACTAGCCTTGAGCTGAAGAGCTGAGGGACAGTGCCCAGGCCCAGAGTTCAGGCCCCATGACCGGACCCCCCTAAAAAAAAATTTGTATATAGGGCTGGGAAGGTGGCTCAGTGGTAGAGTGCTTACCTTGCATGCCTGAGGCCTTGGATTCAATTCCTCAGCACCAAAAAAAAAAAGCTGGAAATGGTGATGTGGCATTTGTATATGCCTGGTGTCAGTGGCTTACTCCTGTATATTCTAGCTACTCAGGAGACTGAGATCCGAGGATTGCGGTTCAAAACCAGCACAAGCAGGTAACTCCATGAGACTCTTATCTCCAATAAACCACTCAGAAAACTGAAAGTGGCCCTGTGGCTCAAGTGGTAGAGTACTCGCCTTGAGCTGAAGAGCTGAGGGATAGCACCAAGGCCCAGAGTTCAAACCCCCCAAAAAGAATATTATTCAAAATCAGCTACTAGAGTTTCATTATACAATTATTCTATGGACAATTAAATGTTAAATTCATAAGTATTTTTGTTGTTGTACAGCTTTGGCACAAGTAGCATTTGCTACTAACTTCAGGGTATTTTATGACTTTTGTAGTTTTCATACTCATTGCTCTAAAATAAAAGTTACATGTGTATTTTTTCCTCTGAGTGTTCTTTGGTCTAATTGAGTATTGTGAAGATATTACATGGATGCATATACTACTTGTATTACATCATTTGCTACAAGATAAAATATAAAATAATTATAATAGTCCCTTACTTTTCTCCTAATTTTATTATTTTAAATCAAATAGAATGGAGATTTTTTCTTTTAAGAATAACAAACACTTGAGCATGTTTTTTTTACAGCAGTCCCCTCAATAAACAGATCTTAGTTGAAAGCTGATCATTCTCAAATAAAAGCAGAAAGATACTGGATTTTCCAAGTAAATTATATTATTTAAAAAAAAAAAAACCCATGATAATGCATTACTCAAAGAATAGGAAGGAAACCAAAAAAGAGAAAAAAAAATCTCAGGAAAAACAGGGAGTTATCTACTCTAAATGTCAAATCTTGTAGTTGGAAATAGTTTACAGATTCTACTTTTTAGGATAATAATAGAAATCAGTATAGCAGGCATAAACAAGTTAAGGCTATCCCTTTCTCTATTTTTTTTTAAACTTTAACCATGATAGGCATCTCTGCAACTTTTCCTAAGTTTTTCCCTCCATTCAGTAAGAAGGATAAGCTTTTCGAGTACCCAGTCACCGTGGTAACTGCCAAAAAAATTCTCCTGAAGTTTGAAGAGGTCAGTTTGCAGGGTCAACAACTCTGCCCGCTCCCCAAGCTGGTCCAGCATGCTCTGTCCTGTGGTTGGAGTGTCAGGCCAGATCTGACCCTGGGAGGTGGACCATTCCTGCTCTGATATAAATTTTTTGAGTCAGTTCATGGCCTGGACTCTCCAGGTGGCCTCCAAAATCGATTTTGACCCCTTGACCCTGTCTGGCAGAGACACCGCATCCACCCTAAGTAAGGATTTAGTCAGGAATGACAGCTTCCACTGAGTGTTATTGGGGACAGTATAAACAGTTTGAAAAGCAAGCGAGGAGGTGTGAGTGCTGGAAAGCCACTAGAAACAAAGTTAAAAACAATGTGAAAATTAAAGATCTGTATCTCCCACAGAATTCCTCTGTGATTTATTGGATTTTCCCATCCAGGTTGGTACATAAATAATGAGTCATAAAACCTTACTGTTTTATATACTTGGTTTCCAATATGCAAATAAGGTAGGCAGATATGCAACAAAGCAAACACGGTAAGGACACAATATGTACAGAAAAGAGAAGCTAATTATTTTTAAAATGTTTCATGGATAGAGTTTCTGGTACTTTGAATAGTAAAATTTTGTATGTCTTGAAATGTTTAAAGAAAGAAAATAAGGAAGTTGAATATTCACTCTCCACACATAAAAACAAACCAAACCTGAAATGAAGATAAGCTTGTTGCAATTTGCTACTTCATCAAACAAATACAAGTGACAGAAAAATTATAGACATGAAAAGTTAAGCTGAAGTTCAGCTGAAAAGGAGGAGGGGGAACAACAAAAATACTGTCTCAGTAAATCATTCTAGTTTTTAACAGTTTAAAAAGGCACAAAAACTTTGGAAAATAAAACTGATGTATATAAATGATCAGTATTTCATCTTTTTTCCTCTCCTTTTATTTATTTTCTTTTTCAGAATTCCAGCCTGCAAGTTTAATTTTCCCTCGGAAAAATGGATCTCTCTTTGAAAGTTCCAGCCTACAAATTCAGTGTTCACATGCAGCCTTGAAGCAAGACAGAACTGGAAGAAGAAAGACTAGGAACGGGTTGCTTTCTTAAGTCTTTCATGGGATTAGTATTTATCTCAAGTTTTCCTCTTTTCCCAGTTCTGTTGAAAATGGTGTCCTGCGCTGTGCTGGTGGCTCATGCCTGTAATCTTAGCTACCAAGGAGACGGATCTGAGTACCACATTTGGAAGCTAGCTCAGTCAGGAAAATCTGTGAGATTCCCAATTAATCTCCAGAAAAGCCAGAAGTGGAGCTGTGGCTTAAATGGTAGAGTGCTAGCCTTGAGCCAAAAAGCTAAGGGACAGTGTTTAGGCCCTGAGTTCATGCCCTAGTCTTGTCACAAAAAAAAATAAAAATAAAAATAAATGGTGGTACAACCAGTTGTACTTTGAAGGGCTTTTATCCAAGCTCTTTATGAAAATTAGATTCTAAGAAGGGATGACTGTCCTATTGGGTCTGGGGACTGGGAAGATAGCAGAAGAGACAGAGGCCCTGAACTAAAACGGTGATGCGTGTAGACACAGGGCTTCCGGGTTCTGTGGCTTGGCTACTCAGTACATTAAATCCCTACATAAAACTCATCCTCACAAAGCCTATTATAGTATTCTGAGAACAAATTGGACCATGCATAACTTAGGTGGAAGTGTAGATTATTTTCTGCTCAAGCAAAGTTAGAGATGACAGCAGCTTAACTGAAGAATAGTTTCTCATCTTAAGTGGATGGATTTCAAAGTTTCACTTTTTGGGGGTGGGGGTGGGGGAGGAGGGTCATTTGTCGGGCTTGACCTCTAAGCCTGGGCTCTGTCCCTGAGCCTCCTTGTGCTCAAGGCTAGCAATCTACCACTTGAGCACATCACCACTTCCAGCTTTTTTGACTAGTTTATTGGAGATAAGAGTCTGGCTTTGAACCATGGTCCTCAGATCTCAACCTCC